TCTACTCTACTCTACTCTACTCTACTCTACTCTACTCTACTCTTACAAAACAGAAAAGAAGAATTAGGGAAGGAGAAAATAAATATATCCCGGCTTTTGTCGTTGTGTGTTGATGCCACTAGAGGGCAGTCAGGTCTCAGTACATGGTAGCCATGATATATCATTGGATATATCTAGAAAGATTTTTTAAGCATCCACTTCGGCGCCCCATCCCAGTGCCAGTAAAGAATTTCCCAGCAAGCCTACACAGTACTTGGGCTACTCTTGACAAAGCAGTATTTCCTCCTTTATTGATTCTGCTGCCACAGTAAAAGGCCGGCGTTGTACATCAATAACTATTCTTTAGTTAGGAAACACCGAGCTGGGGAAACATTGCTGGCACTTGCTCTCTTTCTTCCTTCCTCCCATTTTTTTTTCTCTTCGTTTTTTTTTTTCTTCTTCTTTTTTGTAATGGATCATAAAGTCAACAAAGGAAAAATAAAAGAGAGCTGGGAGAATGTTTTGGAGAGTAGTTGAGAGGCGATGGAAGAAGCAATGAACTGAGCAATTATTCCTTCATTTGGCATCGTCTTTCACAGGCTAGACTATAAAGTCCATCAGCCTCAGCCAATCTGCGGTATTTCCCTCACTGGTTTGAGGTTTAGGTATTGGCTCTACGTTCAGGCACCGCAAAACTTTTTTTACTCCTGCGTATGTAGCATTTTTAAAAACCTCTCAGGCAATCATATTTTCTAGCATCGTGGTTATAATTCACATTAGTTATTTTAAGTAACTGAATTATGTCATTTTGAAAACATAGATTGCTTTTAGATAAAAAGTGATACGTGAATATCAACACCAATATTAATCAAAGCTCTGTAAGTCATAAAATAAAAAAAAAAGACTTTTCACTCTCCTTGGATTGTCTAGCCAGGAGACCTTCGATCTTGTCCCCATGAAGATTGTTTGTTAGGACACCTCTGTTGATTAACAAACAAATTAACAGAGTTGGAAGGGACCTTGTAGGTCATCTAGTCTGACTGCCCCCCCCAAGCAGGAGACCCTACACCATTTCTGACAGGTGGCGGTCCAGTCTCTTCTTGAAGGCCTCCAGTGATGACACTTCCACAACTTCTGAAGGCAACTTCTGTTCATCAAGATTTCCTTCTCCATTTTAATTCTTTTAAAAAGATTTTCTCAATACAACTTTAACTTTCAATGTGTTTTAATTAGCTTGATAGTTTTTAAAGCAAATGTTTTCAAAATGATATAACAGAATAACAGAGTTGGAAGGGACCTTGGAGGTCTTCTAGTCCAACCCCCTGCTTAGGCAGGAAACCTTTCAGACAAATGGTTATCCAATTCTTTTCTTAAAAACTTCAAGTGTTGGAGCATTGACAACTTCTGGAGGCAAGTTTTTCCACTGCTTAATTGTTCTCATTGTCAGAAAATTTCTCCTTAGTTCTAGGTTTCTTCTCTCCTTGGTTAGTTTCTCTCCATTGCCTTCAGATGCTTTGGAGAATAGCTTGACCCCCTCTTCTTTGTGGCCCCTTAGATTTTGGAACACTGCTGCCATTGATATTGATATTGATTTTAATATATAATTATATTTATTTAAATTTAATAGATTGATATTGAAACACTTCTTCGGAATTAAACCGATACAAAATTCATAATGTTATAAGCAGTTCTGTTTACCCAGAATGTGGATTCATCTGCTGCTTACTTTAAAAATTCTTGGGTTATCCTAAGACTTTTCTTCGGTAAAATGGGAAACAATTATACAGAAATAAATATTTAAAAAATGTTAAACATGGAAAAAGGGATGTTCAATCTGCAAAGGTTCAGCCTCTGTCTCTAGACTCATTCCTTTATCCCCCCCAAAATAGCCTTATGTTTTGTGTGACCTCACAGAAAATGGAAATTGTTCTATGCCTGAAGTTTATAATTTTGCCTGGAAGTGTGTCTACCCTTTTAGAGAATCATAATTGTAAACCCTTAGTATGGGATTGTCTTGAGAGATTTAAGAGAATACCAAAACTGATAACTTTCCTTCCCATGACAATTTTTTATCTTTGCATGCTCTGGATATCCTCCCAAACCATGAAATATATGCAGGGGGGGAAAAAAGGGAATTCCCTATTCTAGCAGCCAAAGTTTTTCTTATTGAATCTATTAACGCTCAGGAAATGTTTGGTGTTTTTTTTGTTATTGTTCATCTGTTAAGCAATCCATAATTATCTTTTGGATCATTAATTTATTTTGCACTGCCTCTTTCTCAAATCAAGTGACTCTGGCAGCCTACCCCCATTGATAGGACTTAGCTTCTCTTATCATTGCATAAGTGACGATAATGGGTAAACATTTAATTAATTTTCAGTTTTTCGCCATCCCCATGTGAGTTTTAGCTGTATTTTGACTGTGGGGTGAGACGGTAATAACTGGAATAAGCCCTTTATGAAATCCGTGGAATGATGGAAGGGAAGGAAGTAGAAACAGATTTGCTCCTTTCTGAGCCAGTGGTTTCCTTGGGAGATTTTGCATACAAGAGGCAGTTGCGAACAGCCTCATTAGAGCCTCTAATCTCACGTTTGCTTTGTGTAAAGTGCTGGAAACCTTTGCAGGATGGGGCGTGCTTTGCACACTCAGTGGGCACCAAGCGGCCGAAGGCTTTTTTGCTCTAGGGATGTGAACTCCCGGCCTTTCCCCCTTCCTGGGCCACGTGTGCAGAAGCC